AAAAGAATGAAAGAAAAGACTAAAATGGATGTAGTTGATTTGATTCCTGTGTATTCCATCTGGTGAAGTCCACAAGTATAATTAACATTTATGTTGTTGAAAAAAGGTATGTGCAATGAAAAAGTCATCAGTCTTAAAAAATTCTATCACGCAACCTCCAGTGTCACTTCTATCACCAAGGCCATATTTTCTAGTTAACAATCCGCCTTCCTCATTCTAAGTTTACATTGTAATCACCAGTGATTATCAATACACCTTGTTTGCATGTTTGATGAATTTCAGACTGCAGAAGTTAGGGAAAAATCTTCAATTTCTTCATCTTTGGCATTAGTGGTTGGTGTGTAAATTTAAATATTAGTCATATTAACTGGTCTTCCTTGTGGGCATATGGGTATTATCCTATCATTGACAGCATTGTACTTTAGATCTTTAAATGTTCTTTTTGACAATGAATGCAATTTCATTCCTCTTCAATTTGTCATTCCTGGCATAGTAGAGTGCATGATTGTCTGATTCAAAGTAGCCAATACCACTTAATTTCAGCTCATTCATGCCTAGGATATCAATCTTTATGTGTTCCATTTCATTTTTGGCAACTTGCCATTTTCCAGATCCATGCTTTGGATATTCCACATTCCACTTACTTGTGGTTATTTACAATGATTTATTTTCATTTTGTGTTCTGCCACATCAGCAAATGCAGGTCCCCAAAGCTTTATTCCACCTGTGGCACTGAGGTTGACCCTACTTGGAAGAGGCAGCTCTTCCCCAGTCGTATTTTGAGTGTTTCCAACCTCAGGCACTCATCTTCTGGCACTATATCATAAGGTTTTCACTGGCCAGTTTTTTAGAAGTAGATAGCCAGGTCCTTCCTCCTAATCTACAAGCTCCACTGAAAATTACCAGTGCCATAGCTTCTAGCATCAAAGCAGCGTGCAAGCCACTGCAGTGCTACAGACCCATAGATGAAGGGTAGAGAGAAGACAGTAGGCCCTCAGTTAACTCCATTACCCCTGCATATTGTACAGACCTGACAGACATTTGCAGAAATGTTTTAAGGTTCAACTTTTTCACGTCCTAGTAAAATTAACAAATGGTATTGTAATAATGGCACGATGGCAGAGTCTAACTCACAAGCAGGGAGAACAGGATCAGCAGCCCAAGTCTGATTCCTATGAGGCAGAGGTTACTCACCTCTCTCTACAAACTTCACCGGTTCTGACAGCAGCCATCCTCCCATAGCATTCTTTACTTCTCTGGTGTTCGATAATTTCTTGCAATAGGGAAAGTAACAGGTTACAATTCAGAATCAGGAAATGAGGCAGGATACAGTGTTTTGTTCAGGATAGCTTCTTGGCCATGCCTACAGGCAGTCCTCTGCCTGACCTCTGGCCCCTCAGGCCTCTTAGACTAGCCTGGCCTCTGCCCTGCTCAGGCAAAGCTCTTTAGCTCTACCAGTAAATGCCCAGACACACACTACTGTTAATAAACCTCAACCCAAAGGCGCTCAGCTCCCCAGCTCTGTGGGTTGGTCAGCTTAGCTCCCTCGACAAACGCTCCGCCGGCAAGCCTCCTGCCCCAAAGTGCTCAGCTCTCTTGCTCTGTACGCCGGGAAGTCCACAGTACCATATCCTGCCAGTTTCCTAGCTCTGCTGCTGCTGGTTTTCTGCTGCACTTGCCACTTCTCGCCACCTTGTGCCATCTCCGGTTTTACAGCTGTTTCTTGGGTCTGGGAGGTTCACAGCGCCGGGATCCTGGCTCCAAAGGGCACTTTCTACTCCCAGCTCTTCTTGGTGGTAGTGACACATATTTTGGGGGGACACAATTCAATCCGTAACATTTCACCCTTAGTCCCATCCAACCAATGTGTGGGAGTCACAAAGACCATGGCTAGCCATATTAGATAGTCACAGCACTGAAACTTTTGACAGTGAATTGTTAGGTACATGTTTGTGTCTCTGAACTAAATGAGAACATCTATCTCAGTAATTCAGTTTTCCAGTTGAGTTACCCAACCCCTGGGCTCAGAAAAATGACCTAGCATTGGTTAAGAAAACACATTACAAACAACAAGGTTGGATTCATTTCATAATTTAATAGTTAAGTGCTAAAAATGTTTTTAAAAGATCAAAAGAAACAAATAACTTTGTAAAAGTGTCCTTTGGTCCCATTCCAGATATTTCTGCTGACAGTTGGATTCACTCTAGACAGGTCACAATGAAGGATAGGGTTCTGAGCCCCATTGCAGATATTTAAAAGCAGGAGACATGATTGCATGTGTAGTAATAAAAGCAAAATCTAAAGGGTACTTACTATTTCACCCAGAACACACAGTTGTTTCCTCCTGATCCAGAACAAACAGAAAGTCAACATATTTACAAACAAGATTTAATAATGCTCACGAGAACAGTTTGCCCCAAAAAAGAAAAACTGCACATTTGGTTTCAAAAGGTTACAAATTCATTGCTTAAAAATTCCAGCAGGGAGGTGGCAGGACTGATAGAGTCTGGTTTTGGAACTGTCTACCTGGTAGAACATTAGGGCTCCTCCAGGAAACCTGTTTTCATTGGGGGGAGGTGCTATTTACATCCCAACCTGTGCATCTCCTCTTCAGCCACTCTCAGTACCGCCTGTTCATCTTCTTGAACTTCTCATAGTGATAGTCATCGGTGGCCTTCTCGTTAGCAGGGCGCTTGCGGTTAGGAGGAGACCCTGAGAAGGAAAAGATTGGGAAAGGCTGTTTGCTCTGCTGGAACCTGCTTCCTACACTTTAGCTCCATGTAAGGAAGAACCATGCCTGCTCGTTCCCCACAGGGGCCTCAGGGCCTAACCCAGTGAATAAGAACACAGTAGAGCCTCAGTGAATAACTACTATTGAATGAATGAAAATAATACACATACACTAGAGTCAAGTGCCAGCCACAATGTGCTGACATCAGCATTGAGTAGGTGAACAATAACCCTCTGCCTCGGAGTGGATTCTGATTCTTAGTGACCTTATGGGAAAGAGTAGAACTGTTCCCATAGGGTTTCCAAGGCTGTAATCTTTAAAGAAGCATATTGCTACATCTTGCTTCTGCAGAACTGATGGTAGCTTTGAATTGCCAACCTTTTGGTTAGTAGCTGAGCACTTAACCAGTGTACCACCAGGTCTCCTTAGTAGGCATTATTTCTTTCAGTCCTCACAACAAACCAGCTCAGAAGTTAAGTGACTTGCTTAATTAAGGTCACTCCAAAAGTAAAGGTAGGCTGAGATGTGAACCCACATCCGGAGACTCCAAGCCAAACCCACTGCCATCGAGTTAGTTTAGACTCATAGAGACCCCCATTAGGTTTCTAAGGCAGTAAATCTTTACAGAAGTAGACTACCCCATCTTCCTTCCTTGGCTGGTGGGTTTGAACCGCCAACCTTCTGGTAATCAGTCAAATGCCTTAGAAGCTGTGCCACCAGAACTCCTTCTGGAAACTGCACTACTTGTTAATAACATGAAACTGTTGTGGAATCAAAGGACATACAACAAAGATATTATAAAAAAATAATTCCCCAGGTAGGATGTAAGACACACATCAACAGGCTAAATTTTCGGAAACCCCAGCAAATTGAGCCTTTCTTCAGTGTCACGTCATAGTCGACAAAAAGATGACACCACCTGGTGCTGACGAACGTGTGGGGAAAGGGGACCATTAGATGCTGCCAATGAACAAGTCGGCTTCACAATCCTAGAGGGCAACAGCGGAATTTCAGAATGTGGCCTACGGACGTGATGTGGTTAAGAATGATTACGACAGCATGTTTGAAAGAGGGAAACACTGGAAACAACCTAAGTGTGCAACAAGAAGAGAACGGCTACGCTAGAGGACATCTGTCTAAACAACACAACGTGACTGCCTGTGAAAACGAAAACAGATCTGTACACGCAGAAAATGCTGCACTCTGTGTATTTTCACCAATAAACAAAATTAGTTACTGTCATGAGAGACCTGCGAGGTGTAATACTGAGCAAAAATCTATACAATCCCGTTCAGTATGCATACAACACATAGGCTTCAAGAACATGCTTTTTCAAAAAAGTCTGAAAGCTTACACATAAAAATGTTACTGGTAGTCTTTGGGTAGTGAAATTATGAGTGATTTTTAATTTTTATTTTGAAGGGGGTTGATATGACTTTCTAAATGTAGAACCTAAAATGTGCCATTTTAACTATTGGAAACGGTACAATTCAGTGGCACCGACTGTATTCACAACGTTGTGCAACCATCACTGCCATCTATTTCCAAATCTTTTTTATCCTCTCAAACAGAAACTCTGCACCCAGTAAACATGAACTCCCACTAGCATAATGTTTTCAAGGTTCATCATGTCACCCCATGTATCAGAATGTAATTTCTTTTTATGGTTGAATATTCCACTGTATGTATGCACATTTTGCTTGGATAAGCATTCATCTGCCGATGTAATTAATTTTTGTTTATTGAACTTCCCTACTCTTTTGAATCTCTACTATACTGACAGCCCACTAAATCCTCAGAGACAGATCAAGAGATTACTACTGTCCCCAGCTTATAAATGAGGAAACTCAGGCTTGGAAAGGTAAAGGCACGTGGTCGTGGTTCAGAACATAGACTGGAACTCAGCTGCCCCTGCCCAGGCCATATCTGCATCTGTGGGCCCAATTGCTGACCCCAGAGCGCTGGCCACCAGAGGCAGCCCTGAAGCTTCCACTATACTCACGCTCAGGCTCTGGCTTCTCTGTGTCACCCACTCTCAAGGGTCGAGCTTTAGGTTCCTCTTTGTTTCTCCGAATGGGGGCGTTGAGCTCCTCATGATAAACTGGACCAAAAGAGACCAGAACACACGTCAGACTGTGTGTGGGGCTGCCACTGGGTGGGGCTGGGAGCTCTCGCAGAGCCACTTACATCGGTTGTGCTGCACATAGTTCACAGCCATGTTGGTGGGCACGAAGGATGTCTCACTGTCTTTCTTCTTATTCTGCTGCTCTGCCAGCAGTCGGGCCTTGGCATCCTCCGTGGAAATGATATTTTTTATTTTGGCACTACCGGGAGAAAGGACCCAACCACAGATTAGATCATAGCACATTTGGTACACAGACAGAAATGACTGGAAAGGCTGGCAGCCCTCATCACACAGGAAAATCTTCTTTCTTGGGGCACAATTCTCTACAGCTTACTTAGCTCTGATAATCACATTTTCACAGAGGTTTCACTACCATGGGAGAGCAGGAGCTATCCTCCACTTCTGGTCAAGAGGAAATCAAGTCTCAAAGGAGTTCAGTGAACTGTCTAAGGCTCAGAGCTATTAAGGCCAGGAAAAAATGTGAAAACCCAGGAATCTTTCAACTTCCTATTACAGGCAACGATGACTCTGACCATTGTTTCTTCCACAGAAACCCTCTTTTAAATCAGACATTTTGTAGTTAAAATCAAAGGAGGATCGCAGGGGAGGGGCTTCCTGATACTTTAACATTACTCCTGCTACAATAAAAAGAATCAAAGTGAAAGTGGAACAGTTAAAGAGCTGTGACAAAGGCTAATAATTTTTGTTTTCAGTAGTCAGGGTCCCTTAAATCTCAACTACCCTAACCAAGCCTTGCAACCCTGAAACTCCTGGCAACCACCTGCCAGAGAGAACTGTAATAGTTTATATTTGTGAGTTTCCCAGGGAGCTCTGGTGGCATAGTGCCTAAGGCATTTGACTGCTAACCAGAAGGCTGGTAGTTCAAACCCACCAGCCACTCCTCAGAAGGAAGATTGGGTAATATACTTCTATAGAGATACTGCCTCAGAAACCCTAGGAGGCGTTGCCATGAGTCGGATCCGACTCGACAGCAGTGAGTTCGGTTTTTGGTTTGGTGGGTTTCCAAGGAGATAAGAAATAAATCATCTTAAATTTTAACTGGGAGGCAGAGGTGCTTTCTTTTTCCTAGGCCCAGAGGGAGGTGAGACTGTGGGCCTGAAACGCACTCAATGCCAAGGTCCACCTCAGGGATGCCGCTCAGCATCTGGTTAGAGAGCATCTCCTCGGTTTTCTTTGCTGAGGAAACGCGGATGTTTTCCGGAAGTTCATAAAGACAGTCCTCTGCATTCTTTGGCTTAACTTTCTGTTCCTCGTGTTCCACAATCCCTTTCCTTTTCTTCAGCTCCGTTTCAATGTATTTCATCCTGAAATGAGAAACACACTGGTCTCAGGGAGGAACAGCAAGCTCAGAACAAGCATTCTCTAAATGCGTAGTACCTAACACTAGCAAAAGGAGCTCTGGTAGCGTAGTGGTTAAAGGATCTGACTGCAGTTTAAGCAAGCAGTGGTTAAAGAAAAAGGTCAGCAGTTTGAACCCACCAGCTGCTCTGTGGGAAAAAGATAAGGCAGTCTGCTTCCATAAAGATTTACAGCCTTGGAAACACCATAGGAGAGTTCTACTCTGTCCTGCAGGGTTGCTGTGAGTTGGAATTGACTCAATGGCAGCGAGTTAACACTACCAAAAAGGTAGTGCACCAGTGGCACATTGGTTTAAGCACTTGGCTGCTAGCCTAAAGGTTGGCCATTTTTTTTTTTTTTAATTGTGATTTGAGTGAAAGTTTACAGAGCAAATTCACTTTTCATATAGCAGTTCACATATACTCATGACATCGACTACAATTTACCCCCATGCAACAGCTCCCCTCCCACTACCTCCTGATAACTACATCGTCCCTGTGTCTATTCCTCCATGCACTCCTGCCCCCTGAGCTGTCTCCCTGTGCATAAACAGCCCTTCTTTCTCCCATGATTGTTTTCTCCAAGGAGTGTATCTACCTCAGGTAAATGTTCAACTCATATGCCTATCTTTTGTTTGGCTGGAAACCACAGGTGTGGGTGCAATTCCAGACCTGAAGGGCAGCTAGGGGCCATAATCTCAGTGGTTCCACCAGGCTCTATCAGACCAGCAAATCTGGTCCAAGGTTGGCCATTTCAATCCACCAGCTGCTCTGTGGGAAAAAAGACCTGGCAATATGCTCTGGTAAAGATTACGGCCTAGGAAGACCTATATGGCAGTTCTACTCTGTCCCATAGGGTAGCTACAAGTCAGAATTTACTCAACAGTACACAATACCACCACTATAAATTTTCACCATCAAATAAGGCTATAATAAACAATCTCTTACATTTGTCTTTAGCTGCATTTTCCTTGAAGGCAAAAATCCTGGAAATGAAATTACCAGGCCAACGTGATACCAAATGGTTTTACAGAAAAGTATATCACTTCACCGCCACCCCCTGCCTCCTCCAGCAGCTAGAGTGTTTACAGAGCTTTGTTTTATTCTTGTTGGCTTTTTCAGCTGGCTTTGGTCCCCAAAGCAATGATCCACAATGATGTGCACTACACATCAGTACACGGAGAAATGAGAAAAATAAAAGTAATGAGTTTTCTCATCAAGCTGTACTCACTCAAACTCACTGCTGTCGAGTCGGACGCAACTCATACTGACCCCTCCTTCATCAAGCTAAAATTGTTTAATTTAAAGAACCACCTACACGATAAGACTATATTATATGCTTATTATGCTATATAAATTTCTTTTAAGATAGAAATATGATGGTAGATAGTAGTTATTTAATAGTCTTGTTCACAAAATAAAAAGTAGGCAAATCCACATTTATCCCTACAATCTAAACCCCAAGATCCACCTTTTTAAAGAACTTTCAGGAAATATTCAAAGTTCTCGAGCTTGGGAGGTGGGGAGAGAGAGGCCAACTTTGACATCTTAGGAAAATTATAGAAATGTCATGTATGATGAAATATCTGAGACCCCATCTGTCTGGAGCCCACCCGATTGCTCTTAGCCATGGACCCACATGTCTGCATCCTCATCCCTTCTGTTGGTTTCTGCGGAAAACGATGTCCCCAGGTGTAGGTCTTCTTCTTCACTGATCCTAAAGGGAAAGGACGATGAAAGTGAATTTTAAAGTCACAACTCAATGAAACAAGCACACATACAAAAAGGGATACTGTGATCCTGTTTGTTTGGTGGGGAAATGGCATATATATGGTATGTAAATACATGTAACTCTAGAAATGCATGCATGGAAACTGTTGATCATTAAAGACATCTCTGGGAAATGAGTGGATCCTTTTATTTTTAAAGCTTTTATATTGCTTGAATGTAACTGTACTTTTTTCTTCTTGAAAGGGGGGGGGGAGAACCAACCTTTTACCTTTTGTTAAAAAAACATCTTTATCAAAGGAGATTACTCACTTTCTTCTAAGGTTCTCTGAGAGCGTAAGGGCCTGAGCAGGGGCTACAAGTGAATCTGTATGGACTTACTTATCCTTGCCCCTCTCCTTCAGTTTTTTCATGTCCACCATCCCACCTGTCTTCATCTGAAAGGGATCATCCTATAAAAAGCAAAGATAATTTGGAAGGAGCATCTACAATATAATTGGCAGGGGGATTTCTTTTTAGAGAAAACAAAACAAAACAACCACCCAACTGCATCTTCCCATAGCTCAGGGAGGGTCCCATAACGTACCACTAGAGTTGTCTCTTCCTGTACTTTCTCCCCCACCAGCAGGGCCACAGCACTGAGATAAACCAAAAAATGAGAGAGAGAGAGAGAATATTTCAGAGATCAGGAGGAATACTCAGGAGGTCTGTGCATTACAACATCAGTGCAAAGATTAGGTTGGAGGAACAGGAACCAAAGCCAGGTGGAAAAGCCAACAAGAATAAAACAAAGCTCTATAAACACTCTAGCTGCTGGGGGAGTCAGGGGGTGACAGTGAAGTGGTACACTTTTCTGTAAAACCATTTGGTATCACCTTGGCCTGGTAATTTCATTTCTAAGATTTTTGCCTTCAAGGAAAATTTAGCTAAAGACAAATGTAAGAGATTATTTGTTATAGCTTTATTTGATGGTGAAAATTTATAGAATTACCTACAAGTACCCAACAAGGGGACTGGTTAACATATTAGGTATAAACATCTGTTAGGATATTATGTGACCATTAAAAAGGTTTATGAAAAATATTTCACAATGTGGGTGAAAACGTACAGTGTCATGTTGAGTTGAAAATATTAGAGAATAAAAGTGTATATAACATTGATCACAATCTTTAAAAAAACATAAGAGAGGGAACAGAGATTGAAAGAACATTAAAATGTTAACACTGGTTTCCTCTGTTTGGTAGAATTTATGGCTGCTGCTTATTTCCTTGATTATACTTTCCTAAATCTTCCCAACTCTTAAAAATCAATGGGCACCTAAAACTATAAAGTTCCTCAAGGAAAAAAACAGGGGAAAATTTTGGGGCCTTAATTTATGGCATAAACAGACTGTCAGGCATAACCCAAAATGTGCCAACAGCAGAAGATAAACTAGATGATTGGGACCTTCTGAAAATTAAATTTTTATGTGCTTCCAAAGACTTCTCCAAAAGACTAAAAAGAGAACCTAGAGATTGGGAAAAAATATTCAGCAATGATATATCCGACAAGGGACTTATCTCTAAAATTTATAGAAGACTCCAACACCTCAACAACTAAAAGACAAACAATACAATTAAACAATGGGCAGAAGATATGAATAAACACTTCAAAGAGGATATTCAGGCAGCCAACATATACATGAAGAAATGGTCACGACCATTAGCCATTATTGTTGTTGTTGTTATGTGCCATCGAGTCGGCCCCGACTCATAGCAACCCCTCCTTGGGTTTCCGAGGCAGTATCACTACGGAAGTAGGATTGCCCAACCTTCCTTCCGAGGAGTGGCTGGTGGGTTTGAACCGCCAGCCTTCTGGTTAGCAGTCAAGTGCTTTAGCCACTATGCTACCAGAGCTCCTGCCATTATAGAGATGCCAATCAAAACAATGAGATACCATCTGGCCCCAGCATTAATAGCAAAGTTCAAGAAGACAGAAAATAACAAATGCTGGCGAGGATGTGGAGAGATTGAGATTCTCATTCACTGCTGGTGGGCCTGAAAAATGATATAACCACTGTGGAAAGCAGTATGGTGATTCCTTAAAAAGTTGGAATTAGAAATATCATTTGATTCAGCAATCTCATTATTGTTGTTGTTAAGTGCCATCGAGTTCTCTCTGACTCATAGCAACCCTGTGTACAGCAGAATGAAACACTGCCCAGTCCTGTGCCAGCTCCAGGATCCTTGCTATACCTGAGCCCATCGTTGTAGCCACTGTGTCAATCCATCCTGTTGAAGGCCTTCCCCTTTTTCGTTGACCCTCCAGCAATCCCATTACTAGGTATATATCACAATAAAGCGAGAGCCTGGAGAAGAACAGATATATGCACACCTATGTTCACTGCAGCACTATTTACAATAACAAAAAGATGGAAACAACCTAGGCTGCCATCAACAGAAGAATGGATACATAAACACAATGGAATACTATGCAACAGTAAAAGAATAATACAGAATCTGTAAAACACTGCAGAATGTGGATGAACTTGGAGAACATTATGCTGAGTGAAATAAGTCACTCACAGGACAAATATTGTGTCAGTTCGTTATTGTAAAAAGTCAAGGGAAGGTTTATATATGGAAGGAAACTTTCTTTGTTGGTTACTAGGGGTGGGGGGGGAACATTGCAAAAAAAAAAAAAAAAGGGCATGTCACAATTAACCGAGTGTAACAAAAAACAAGTTAGTGACCTATTTCCATGTCTCTGGAAAACCTCAAGACCACATGGTCTGGGGTAGGTCCTAGTTACCCACTCTTCGGGCACTAGAAAGCGTACAGTGTGTCAAGAGGAGATATGACAACAACCTGGGCAGAAGTGTCATCCCCGTCTGCTCCTTCCTCGAATCCCCGCCCCCCACAGCAGTACTCACCTCACCCCATTGGGCCTCTTTCTCAAGTTCTGCACCTCTCGGGTTTCTTCCAGTTTTAATCTGCAAAAAGGCAATGTACCAGCTAAGAGATTCTCCCCAGAACCTGATGCCAACTGGCAGCTCTGACAAGCACCCCTGTCCTGATGCTGAGCCGCCCTCACAGTGGTACAGAGATCCGACTCTGCGCCTAGATCTACTGGGAGTCAGATCCACAGCGCATCACAGGAACACTTCTCCCAACTGTGTGGCCTTGGACCTCACCCCTCCGAGGTTCAATTTCTTCGTCCGCAGAAGAAACAAACAACCCCAGCTCAGCGATGTTGTCAGAGAGGCGCCTGGCCAGTGCCAAACCCGGATTCCTCTTCTCGCCCCAGGGAAGTCCTGTCCCATACGCACCTAACCTCCTCTGAGTCCTGTTCATCTTCCTCTGACTCCGAGTCGGCCCGGCGCCGGCGGAAAGTCTTCCCGGTGACCGGCATGGCAGCACCCGCCCAGCGGTCGGGCAGCCGCACCGCTGCGCCGAAGCCCAGCCTGTTTCCGGCGCGCTGTAGTGGGGTCAGAGCGCCCGCCCGGTCCCTCCCCTACCCCGCACCGCTCGCCTAGTCACGCCCCGCCCGCTGCGTCAGCCTCTTCCGATTGGACAGCTGATGGGGAGAAGGCGGGGTGCGGTCGACCGAGCCCCAAAACCCTGCGCGACGCCGCGGAGGATGCGCTTGACTGACAGGCTGCGGCGGCGCGGTTACGACGGCAGGTGAGTTCCGGGCCGTAGCTAGCTGCTTCAGGGGGCCGGGCGTCTCACAGAAAGGGCGACTCTAACCCTGTTGAGCCAGCGGGGGCCTGGTCCTGCCTGGTGCGCCAGACACCGCGGCCAGGTGAGCGGAGCTCGGGAATCCCCGGCCGCCGCCCCCCTCCCTACCACTGGCGGGCGCCCAGGGGGTGCTCTGGATCCCCGGCGCACCGTTTCGTAAACCGTCCCCCTTGCGGGGGCTCCCTTTAGCGTAGGGGCTTCTTATCTCTTTGATTTCTGCCCCGGGCTTGACCCAGCGTTGAAAGCATACGTGTGGCGTCTTGGGGCGCTGACTTTTATTTCCCCGGGGGTTTGGGCCCTGAAGTGCGTTTTTTTTCTTTAGGGACAAAAGACAACAACCTCTCCTTAGCTGTGGTGAATTAAAGGCCCCGCGCGGATTGGCGCCGCTAATAATGGCCTCTGGCCACTCCTCCCGGATGACAGGAGCGTCTGAGGTTTTTGAAACCTCTCGGAGGGTTTGAGGCCGGATGGCTCACCTCGCTGCGTCGAGTCCTTGCCCGCTGTCTCCCTGGACCTTCGGGGCCTTTTCTTCCTCCTTTGTCAGGAGGACAGTCGCACTGTCCTCTGCTCTTTGTACCTAGAGGATGCTGTTTATCTGAAAAAACGGGCATCACCAAACGCTTAGGAAATAAGTGCACAAAGGCTTATCATGGGACTTTAAGGAACCACGTTAAGTAAAGGTGGTTTTCCTTTTTATCAATATAAGTCAGTCCTTTCCTTGGAAAGATCTACCTCTTATTAAATACTTACTATGTGGCAGGCACTGGACTAAGCATTATGTCCTCGAATTCTTCCAGCAATCTTATAAAGTAGATTTAGTTATTATTTTGTATTTTACGAACGATGCTGAGGCTCAGAGAGGCACTGTATACCTAAAGTTACATATTAGAAGGTGGAGCGGGGATAAGTGGCACGGTAAGACTTGGGCGAATGTTTGCTGCAGCTGCTGTTATTACAGCTCACTGACTGGGGGAGGGGCTGATGGAAACAGTTTTTGGTTCCATCTTCTGGAACACCATTCTGAAGCAGGGCAACATTCTGGAATGTGTTACTTTTCTCTGGAAGAGTCCCTCTGAGATTGTTCTTTTTCTTGGATTGGGACAAATAGAAGACTCAGGAGATCTTGGAACAGCCTTTGGGATTTGATTAAAAAACATATATTAAAAAGTTCCAAAGTCTTATTCTCTGCAGTCTGGTTCAGCCAAACCCAGATGCCCAGGGGAGTCACTGGACACCATGTCCCTGTCAGCTGAAGGAAAGGCCCCATGAGCATTCCTGCAGGAACGCCTAGTCAACATCTAGGAGTCTGCTGCTCTGGCTTCTGCAGCTCTTACCAGAGGGAGCTCTAAATTTGCCCACCTAGTAGCCCTCTTACTGCAAAGCACCAGCTTCCAGGGGGCATTGGACAGTACTCACCGCAGTTTCTGGAATGCCAGAAGACCAGGGACATTTTCTTTAAAAAAAAAAAAAAAAATTATTGTGATTTGGGTGAAAGCTTACAGAGCAATTTAATTTTCCATACAGCAGTTCATACACATTTTGTTTCGTGACATTGATTGCAATCCCCACAATGTAACAGCTCTATTCTGACCAGGGACATTTCTAAACCCTCCTTCTCCTTATCTGAAGTCCCTGAGAGAAACATGTGGTCTAACTGAACTGGCTCCCTGGGTGGAGCAGGAGAGCCCAGTGATACTTAACCATATGGGCTGTGGCAGATTTAACTGAGGGGTGTGGCACAGCGCCTGCAGTCGGTAATGCTCAGGAAGTGGCAGCCGTGAATCTGGCAGTAATTGTGCTGAGGGATGGTGAACCTTTTTGGGGAGTGGGATGGGATTCTTCTTCAAGGGAGCCTCCAAGAAATTTGGTCCTGTTCAGTTCAGAGCTGAGTCTTAAGCTTCTTATTTGGGAGTTTGGTTGTTTAAGAAAATGTACAGGTTTGGAAAAAGAAAATATACAGGTTTGGCTTAGGTTGGGTTTGATTTGCTGTCTCCATTCTAGGGCTAGATGAAATGTTGACTCATTTCAGAATTTATTGAGAATTAAGTCCAGGTGGATTGGGATTCAGCAAAGTGATACAGTTCAGAACCTGGCACATAATTGGTAGTATTCGTAAAGGTTTCTTGGACTGTTTCATTTATTCAACAGATGTTTACTGAGCACTTACTATATGGAGCAGGCACTGCTCTAGGTGTTTGAAATAAATCAGCAAACAAAAAAGACAGGAGATCCCTAGCAATCGAAAAAGCCAAACCCACTGCCATTGAGTTGATTCTGACTCATGTTGTTGTTATTGTTATGTGCCATCGAGTCAGACTCAACTCATAGTGATCCCTCCTTGGGTTTCCGAGGCAGTATCACTACAGAAGTAGTTTGCCCAACCTTCCTTCTGAGGAGTGGCTCGTGGATTTGAACCACCAGCCTTCTGGTTAGCAGTCAAGTGCCTTAGGCACTATGCTACCAGAGTTCCTATTCTGACGCATAGCAACCCCTGTTGGGTTTCTGAGGCAGTAAATCTTTATGGAAGTGGATTGCCCCATCTTCCTTCCATGGAGTGGTTGGTGAGTTTGAACTGCCAACCTTCTGGCTAGCAGTCAAACACCTTAGGCACTATGCCACCAACCAAAAAACCAAACTGACTGTCATTGAGTCAGATCCAACTCATAGTGATCCCTCCTTGGGTTTCTGAGGTGGTATCATTAGAAAAGTAGATTGCCCAACCTTCCTTCCGACGAGTGGCTGGTGGGTTTGAACTGCCAGCCTTTTGGTTAGCAGTCAAATGGCTTAGGCACTATGCCACCAGAGCTCCCAAAGCTCCTTAATAACATAATAAATGCAGGATAAACTATGTAGAAGGTGATGAGTGCAATAGAAAAAAAATAAAGCAAGAGAAAGTCAAGAGTAAAAGGGATGTTGAGTTGTAGATTTAAATGAGTGATTTCTAGCTTTCAGTTTAGTTGGTAATGTGACAGGAGCAGCAGTAGACTGAGTTACAGGTCCTGGGTTCAAGTCTTGGTTGTGCCAGCTTGCTGTGTTACTTTGACCAAGAGCCTTTCCTTCTCTGAGACTGTCTTTTCCCACCAGAGTCCCTCATCTGCCATTTACTGGTTGTGTGACCTTTGGAATGACTGCTGTGTCTTGGTTTTAGGTGTCTTCAGGCCTGAAATTTTGAGTCTGAGTTTCTGTTTATACTTCAGGGTTTGTACCTTCTCAATGACCTTGGGCAGTCACTGCCTCCAGTCTGCTAACCCCAGGAACTGTCAGCCTAAGGTAGCCCTAGATTTATGCCCTGTCCAATGAACTGAATCTCACAGAGCCCAGAGCAAATGGCAGTACCAGGCTTTGGCCTGCCCAGAGAAATTATCTAAGCCTTTAAGGAATTTAAATTGAGCAGAACTATACTCTGTCATACTCTGTATGCTGAGCAAATAATCTGAGAAGGTGGACTATATGAAGAAGAATGAGGCACAAGGATTAGAGGAAGACTCATTAACAACCTGTGATATGCAGATGACAACCTTGCTTGCTGAAAGTGAACATGACTTGAAGCACTTACTAATGAAGGTCAAAGACTACTGTCTTCAGTATGGATTACACCTCAACATAAAGAAAACAAAAATCCTCGCATCTGGACCAATAAACAACATCACAATAAGTGGAGAAAAGATTGAAGTTGTCAGGTACTTCATTTTACCTGGATCCACAGTCAACCCCCATGGAAGCAGCAGTCAAGAAATAGACATCATATTGTACTGGGCAAATCTACTGCAAAAGACCTCTTTAAAGGGTTAGGAAGCAAAGATGTCATTTTGAAGACTAAGGTTCGCCTAACCCAAACTATGGTGTGTATTTTCAGTCACCTCATATGCTTGTGAAAGCTGGACAGTGAATCAAGAAAATCAAAGAAGAGTTGATGCCTTTGAATTATGGAGTTGGCAAAGAATACTAAAAATACCATGGATTGCTAGAAGAACGAACAAATCTGTCCTAGAAAAAGTGCATCTGGAATGCTTCTTGGAAATGAGAATGGCCAGACTTTGTCTCACCTACTTTGGTCATGTTGTCAGAAGCACCCATTCCCTGGAGAAGGACACCATGCTTGGTAAAGTGGAGGGTCAGTGAAAAAGGGGAAGACCCTCAGCAAGATGGATTGACACAGTGGCTACAACAATGGGCTCAGGCAAAACAAGGGTCATGAGGATGACGCAGGATTGGGCAGTGTTTCCTTCTGTTGTACATAGGGTCACTGAGTCAGGGCTGACTCTCACCACACCTAACAACAATACTTTGCGAAGAATGACTCAGAAGAGGCTCTTGCCATTGTCCTTGTGATGCCAAGAGAGGCTTCCCTTGGAGTCTAGGTGTTTGGATTGGAAAAGGTCAAGATCCTCCCCAGAGCACACAGGCCAGGTCTGTTTGGGCAGCTGTATAGCCAACAGTTCAGAGCACTGGCTCCCAGGCAGGCAGTTGTGAATTTGAATCCTTTCTCAGTCACTCAGCTGTCTGACCTCCAGCCAGACATCCAACCTTTCTGAGCCTTAATCCACCTTTAACTGGAGCTAGTGATGGTGCTAACCTCCCAGAGGAGGGGTTGTGAGGATTCAGTGAGATCACATATCTAAGAGTTGAAGACATTGAGCTGTGCCCAGTGGAGGGAGAGGGGCAGGGTGAGTAAAGCTGAGGGGTGCATGTGGAAGTCTGGAGGTATGTAGGAAACAGGACCTGTCAGGACAAGGG